CTGCATCAAAACAGAACGAGCTCCAGTTAAGATTTTAAATGGGGAGCAATGGAAAAGCACTTGTAGTCTATAGCTATTTAAAATCTCAGCATCCAGCAGACAGGCAATTCTCAGACTGGATTCAAACACAGCTTCGTGGGTAAAACACCAAGTAAAACCACCAAACAGACCACAAAACATCTGCCATGCCACCTTCCTACCTGCTCACCACGCCTGGCAGAGAAGGGACGATGAGGGTACTCCTTCCCCACAGCAGCCAGCACCCTTCTCCTCATCCAAGACCCATGGGTGATGATGATCCTCTGCCACAGAGCAGAGGGTCTGAGGAGCCCCTTCCCCCTGTGACTCCTCCCCGGCCCCTACTGCAGCCCCAACTCTCCCCACCTGTGCCCCATCTCCCATCACGCAGATCAGCTGTGCCCAAGGGCAGCTCTGCACCCCCACGCCCTGCCAGCCTTGGCATCACCTAACCATGGGCTGAATTTAAGAAAAGGGCACACAGAGCACTTTCTTCTTTTTTTGCTCTTCCTCTGGGTCTCATAAAACTGTAATTTCCATGTTTTCCTTGGAAATGGAACCAGCCATCCAAACAAAACCCTTCCCAGGGCTCAGACCCCAAACTTGGTCTCGTGCCCATCAGAAGGTCACCTGCCCAGGGGGAGGCAGGGGACAGCAATGACCACAGCAACATCCCTTCCAACTGATTCTCTAATTCCATTTTTCCCTTCGCTGTCGCTACAATCCTCGCACACAAACACTTCACTGAAGTCTTCAACTCGTATTACAATCAAACTGAAAAGCAAAAAGGGCCTAAATGCATTTGGTTTGGAACCAAGACGATTCCCATAAAAGCAGATTATGCTGACATGATGAATATAAAATGAAACAGCAGATATTAAAGTTAGAGAATTGTTACTCCATGCCTCGGGGCTCCTGGCCACCCTACCCACCTCCTCCCTCCCTTCCACCCCCTCCCACGCTGTTTGACGGAAGGCAGAGCGCAGGCAGCGATCGCCTTTTCCTCTCCGCCTGCTCCGAGGCAGCTTCCCAGGCTTCAAATATTCCATAGCCTCCCCCAGTTCCCCCCCCCCGACCTTATGCAATGCTTCACCGTTCATCAGTTATTCGGGAGGTTGCAGCCCGGCTTTATCTGTCACGGCGTTTTACAAAGCCTGTTTTGTATTTAATTGGCTTGTTCTCGCTAATCTGCCATGATTATTGTATTTTTATTTAATTCTTGAAGGTCGTTATTAAAATAAGCCACTTTGCTTACAGCGGTTCATCCCTGCACGGTTCCCCACCCCCAGATAACCAAATCCTCCTGGTGCTTCCCAGCGCTGCTCGGACCTGCCAGACACCTCCACAATCAGGACCAAACCCTTGGGGTGACAGGTGGGAAGCCTGTGAGTCATTTCCACATATGGATCCCGGCTTCTCCTGCCTTTTTCCTCACCACCTGCTTCATCCCAGCAGGACCCACAGCCAGGTTCCACCGGCTCACCTGCACAACTTAAATCTGTTGGCAGGGGGAAAGCTGGAGATCTCTTTAGCCATCACGTTTCCTTTCACAGCAGGCTCAGAAACACCATCCCAGCTCGCACAAAAAGCCAGTGCCAACAACCGCGTCCTCCTCTTCCTCCCCGTGCATCACCTCTAATCCCGCAGCCCCATTTCTCCTGCTGTCAGCCCAGGGGCTCGGCTGAGTTAATGTTCTCCAGAGGCACCAACCTCCGGCGAAGTGTTACTTTATAGATCCTTCGGCGCGAGCTACCACTTATGCTAATAAACCAAATTTATGCAGAAAGTCATAAACAGAGAGCTCTCCCCAGTGCCCTTGCCAGCACAGGATTGCTCCCTGCGGAATAGATT